CCCTCATATAAGCATGCGATGCACTAAGACAAGGGTGAGTCTCTTCGACCCGCTTGTCTCGCCAATTAACCATAGAAGTGTTGTGCAGAAAACAAGAGGATTGCAAGTCAAGGGAGGCGATTCCGAACCAGCTAAAGCAGCTGGGGGGCTTTCTTCTTGATCTAAGAGGGCGCCCTGCGAGCCAGCTCGAGTAAGTCCCAAACCTACCTTAAATTCCTCTCATCAATTGGTATACCTGCCCTTGCTCCTGAGCAAGGTTCTGAGAGAGCGATCTCAAATCTCAGGTTCGCTAAACCCCAAGATACGTGCCGCCAGATCATCTAGATCCGGAAGGCGAGATCGAGACACCTAGCCAGTCATCTCAATGAAAAATAATTTCTTAAAACCTGTAACAAATGCCCACAAAAATGTTCCTCTAAAGTATGCCTTATAGTTTAGTGGAGTAGTCAAGTGTTCCTCAAGATGGATAGTTCGTGGAGTAGTCATAAACTGACTAATCACGCTCATAGCATATGCACTTTCTGGATGTGAAGTGATAGATATATCAGCCTGCCCACTAATCTTCATTACATGCCCACATCTTTAAGAGCTCCACCCCTTTGGTTGTTAAGTTTGTGATTTTGCTCAATAAGAGTGTCAATTGGTTTAGCCCTAAGCTTTTTTGTCTCTTTTAAGAGGTCTAGTATAACTTCCTTTGAGAGAAAAGATTCTTCTCTAAGACCTGGCCACCTTTATTCCAAGAAAATACTTCAATGGACCTAGATCTTTGATTTCAAATTTTCTTGCCACAAAACTTAAGTTACTGAACTTCCTTAGGACAATTATTTGTTACAATAATGTCATCCTGACATATAATTAAGGTCCTAGTTTGTTTGATAAATAAGGTACGGCCAGCATGGACCCAAGTATAGCCTATTCTTTGAAGAACACCACTACACCTTCAAACCAAGCTCGAGAAGACTACTTTAGTCCATAGAAGGCCCTTCTCGGTCTATAAACATTTTCCTAACATCCAAGAGCCCGAAATCCAGGTGGAGGTACCGTGTACACTTCTTCCTGTAACTCCTCATGAAGAAATGCATTCTTGACATCAAATTCGTGGAACAACCAGCTCATAGTGGTTGTTAGAGACATAGGGACCCGAATGGAGTTTATCTTAGCCACAGGGGCAAATATCTCCTAGTATTATATTCCATAAGTCTAAATGAACCCCTTGGCAACTAATCACGCCTTGTATTTATCAGCCTTGTGCTTTATAGTAACATCTTTCCACTTGGGGGGAGCTAAAGCTTTCGTAACACTGGAAGGAATAGAAACATAAGAGAAAAGGGTCGTAACCCAGTGCTGGTCCCCCGCCTAAGCAGGGTCCCAGGAGGGGTGGGCTGGAAACAGTCCTAACCTTTGGCTTATGCACATAGTGGCCGCTCTCGGGATTCAAACTCACGCTCTTGCGCTGGCTACCCGAGCCTTTTACCATCACACCAAGTAACAGCCCCCTCAATAAACAAACGAGAAATAGGATACAAAAGCACTATAAGAAGGGGACGATTCATAAGAAACAAAATTGCAAATTGGGTAAGCAGTGCAGCTATATCTGCCTTTTCGTACAGTAATGGGAAGATCCAAATCATCACACTAAGAAATAGTGGGATTACCTAAATCAGAGGTATGTTTTTAAATTGACTTGAAGGCATACCAACTATGATGGTCTCCACTTCTTTTTGTTTATGTCGAGTATAGGCTTTTAAGTATAAACTTTTAATTCCTTCTTTTCAACATCATAAGATTGCCTCTCACTCCCCAAGACTCCAAAATTAGGAAAAATGGGGTAGGAACAGGAACAAGCGACATCTCTTCCACACAGTGCTCCTCCAGAAAAAAGGTACGCAAAAAAGGAGTGGACTCAAAGAAAGTTACATCATACATAACAAGTTTCTTCCTTGACACTGGATTATTACATTTTTAACCTTTTCGAGTGCATGAATGACCAAGAAAAATACATTTACTGATTTGGGGTCCAACTTTGTACAATGCGGACCAAGAGCATGAGTGAAGCAAACACAACCAAATACTTTAGCAGGAGCACTAAACAGTGCACAATCACGACGAAAAAGTTTATAGGAAGATTTGTAATCTAAATCACAAGAAGGCATCGATTGATAATATAGGATGCAGTGATCATGGCTTCTAACTAGTACTTCTTGGGTACATTCCTACCCAAGAAAAGAGCACGACTAACTTCCAAGAGGTGTGTCTATTCGTTCTTTCATCCACCCCGTTTCGTTGTGAGGTGATAAGCATAATTTTGATGGTCTATTGATCTACTCCATGTTCTTCCAAATAGGATAGCAACTCACAAATGCAGTACTCCCCACCTTGATCAGATCTAAGCACCTTAATTTTAGTATCAAACTGAGTGTAGATCATCTTGGTTTTCATTAGATAGATTCATGCGCACTGAGAGTAATCATCCACAAAAGAAACAAAATACCAATATCCAAATAGAAGTCACATGAGGTAGATGTGTGTCAGTGTCAGAATTGACAATAGCAAAAGGACAAGTACTTTTATAATTCCTGGGTAAAAAAACATTTCTACAATGTTTTCGAAGTTTGCAGGTTTCACATTGAAGCTCTAACAAATTAGTCAAACTAAACAAGTTAGGAAATAAAAATTTCGGTTTCTAGAAAGACAAATGACCAAGTTAGGGATGCCACTGCAAAACCGGATCTTTATTAACACTAATGCTGGATTGAAGAGCTTGTAGAGCAGTAGGAGGAAATTCTAGAATGTAGAGAGCAGCAACTTCATGACCATCGCCAATCGTCTCCCTTGTATCTAGTTCTTAAAAAACATAGTAGGAAGGGAAAAAAGTTCTACTACAATTTAGACTTCTGGTAATGCTACTAACAGACCTCAAGTTTGTAGCAAAGCTGAAAAAAAAGATCCATCAACAATCATAACTTCGTCTTTATCAGAACAAAGAGAACAAGAGGAAAACAAGGGAGACATACCAATCATATAATCTGAAGCTCCAGAATCAATGATCCAAATCTCTACTCATAGTCCAAAGGAAAAGGAAACTCCTATTAATCAAAGGTTGCATCAAGTGTAACCAAGAAATTAAGGTCAGATTCTTAGTCTCCCAGTGCTCATGTGAGGGATCCGCTTCTTCAGGTTCAATAATTTTGCCATTGATATATATATATATATATATATATATATATATATATATGCAACTTCCCAACTTTCACAAATGGACATTTTAGCAGACTCCGACTATTCTAAATAATTTGTCCCATGAAGTTTCACAATCATAATCTGCAGTCTAGGGTTATCTCCATGGATACCCATATGACAGGTTTCACCCAGGGCATTAGATGTAGTAGAAGAGTGCTCTGTATCACTAATAATAGACATATATCAACCACTATACAGCTTGCGCACACCAGAAAATACTTGTTGATTAACACAACCAGCCACTAGACTCAAGTTGAGTCTAGTTGATTAACACAATCAGCCACTATACAGCCACTAGACTCAAGTTGATTAACACAACCAGTCACCCAACTTCACTCCACATAGAGGTCCAAGAGCATCCATACAATGGATCTTGATAAAATGAGTCTCACAGCCAACAACAAATTCTAAAACACCAAATCATCCCAAACAAATCTAACGGTTACCAATCCAACATCATAAACTCACCACCAAGAGAAAGCAACCATGAAATTGGGCTAGCCATGTGCAGCATAGACCCAATACGTCACTTGTTAAGAGGTGAGAGTTAGTTTAAGTGAAAGGCTCAAAAAAGGCAAAGGGTAGGCCCAAAAGGACATGGTTGAAAGTAGTGAGAAAAGATATGGGGACTTATGGCCTCACTGAGGGTATAGCCCTTAATAGAACAAAATGGAAGATCAAGAATCGTATAGCTAACCCCAAATAATTTGGGAAAATGCTCTGGTGATGATGATAATGATCACTTTTTTAACTTAGGGTTTCTGACCGTACAGTTGATGAGGACCCTTGTACAATCAAATCACATCATTAAGATTTTGAAAAAAATCCCAAAGTCTCCTGCTCAGATACGAACGTGAAAATACAACAATTTAGTAGATAAGAGATGAAGAAGAGTTAGGAAGATTAGGGTCTAGAAAGAAAAGAAGGATGAGAGAGAGAGGGACAGTTCTATTGAGAAGGGAATAAGACAGAGGGGCCACAGTGATGTCATCATGACCCACATGCCCCACTTAAGTCCTCATATAATAATAAAAATAGTAAAGCAAAATATTGCCCTTAATAAGGGAAACGGCAATTAAGAATTTAAGAACTTAAATACAAGAAAAAAAATATATAAACTTTGGTATTCACGAAAAGTAGCAGAAGCAACAGAAGTCACAATAGTGGTAGTAGCAGTAGCAGTAACAGTAGTAACGGTAATGCAATAGTAGTGGTCGTAACAACAGCAACAGCGGAAGCAGCAGCATTAGAAACAGTAGCAATAGCAGCAGAGGTAGTAGAAATAATAAGAAGAGCAATAACATTAAAAATAAAAGCACTCATTAAAGCAGCATTGTGAAAGTAAAAATTAAATATTACGATCTACCAATCAATATGTATATACATATATATATATATATATATATATATATATATATATATAATATTGAGATTGTATACAATGAGACCATTTACCTTCGGTACAAGGAGGCCACAATTACTTATAACCATTCGATGTGAAATCTGATAGCTTGGGTGTGTCACAAAGTTTGAGAAAATTTCTTTTGAACTTTGAGCTTGGTCAATGAAATAAATGCAGCCACTCAGTTTCACATCCAATGGTCAAGATTAATTGTGGCCACCTTGTACCAAAGGTAAATGGTCTCATTATAAACTTGCCCTATAAGATTTACATTTTTGATACCCCATACATTATCAAGAATTTAGACATAATTGATTGGGTAGTACGCTAGAGAAGTATCAAATTCAAACTTACTAACCTGGTCACCCTTGTAGCGCTGCTGAATAGCCTTTACTTGAGGTTGCAAAGTCCGCATGGCCAATGTAGATTCAACCTATGTGGGGAACATCATGATGCATAACTCAGGTGGGTAAAAAGAAAGCGATGCACAAATGGACAATACCAGCTAGATTTACACTGCGAAAGGAATAAAAAGAAAACTCAAAATGTAAACAATTAATGGGTAGAAGTCTAAAATTTATGTTCACGGGAGTAATAGTAGAGAACAACCATAATGAAATATATTTCAAATTACAAGAGAATATACTGATAAAATCTGTTATCTCCGTGATAAACTATAAATATGATGGAAATTGGCCAACCACTAAAGTCCCATGCAACTTCATCTGGCTCCTAAAGAAAGAGAAGTGAAGTAAACAAATCCAACATGGCAAGGTAGCTTCGAATATTCTTATTAAAAATAGAATCATTCGATGTTCTTTTTCTGCATCAAAGATGCGTGAATTCCATGAAGCAAACATAACTGTATCCCATCAATCATCAAACCTTCCAAGCCACTAAACTATCAATCAAGAAATAGACCACCAGTTTGTCCAATATAAATCCATAATATTTATGTACAATGGATGCTATAATAAATACTTTTTATATGCATGCAAGTGTTGTTTGATTATTGTTTAGGGACCCCAAATCAGTTATTCTTAATGGAATCACTGGAATAGAATAACCTTCTCCTGCCTTCAGATACAGTTTCCAATGCCATTGTTTATCCCTCCACCCATCCATATATCCTTTAAAAATACCAAAACAAGTGCCTCCAATAGACCCCGATGCAAAGGGCCATTTTCATGTGATGGGACAGATAAATGGGGCTTACTCGAAGTAAGTGGAGGGGACCAAACTTAAATTTTTACTGTTTTGCATAAGAGCGGCAGAGAGATGGAGAGATACTTCAAGTGTTCTGTCCAAACTAACCCTATGCATGTTCTTGAATACCAGATTCAAAGGGCCCATGCCACATGTCGTATCGCTAGAGAGACTAAATTTATACACTTTGACTCTGTACAGTTATGTAATATAGATACTGTTATTAACTCCTCAAGGGCAACTCCTGTGAATTATCCCAACAATAATCAATTATCTCTAGCAGTTTTGTACGGAAAGGGTAATCTACAAGAGACAATTACTAGCATGTGAAAAATACATATTCACCAATGATCCAGGGCTCCAAATGTCATTATATCCATGCAGCTCTTTGCAAGGATAGCAGTGTATAGTCTTGTCATGACCTTACTTTAATGAGACCACAATGGCTTATCAAATGCACATTCGCTAGTCTCTCCAATTGACCACCACTCCTGTATATTATATTGAGGTGGGAACTGCATATGGGATTATGAATTGCAGAAGAATGCTCCTATGAGTGTCACACATGCATCCATATGCATCAATGCATATTTGTTTGTAGGAAAGTCTCATGGAGCTAATAGCTCTAATCTGCATGTGAGTATTATAGGGAATTCCAAAAGGTGTGTTTTCCTTCTAAAAATATTTGTGAGCAAAAGTATATTCCCAAAAAAAAAACCAAAAAATCATATATCATAAAGGAAGCATGTGATTCATTTGTGAGAATACTATCATTGAAGGAAATTCTCAACAAAATTTGTCCATTAAACTATAGCACACTTCCCCAAGGGAAAGTATAAATGTAAAGGTGAGAGTAATCCAAGGTGTTGAACAACATAAAATGCAACATAGACACTGGTGAACACACACACACACACATATATATATATATATGCACACAGACACATGCATGAAGGGAAGTCCTAAATATTATATTGAATAGGACTACCCACACTAATGCGTAAAATTTCAATATTGGACTGCTACATGCATAACAACAAACCAAAAAAAAAAACCCAAAAGAAAAATCTTCGGTCATATCATAAAGGGTAGAGAAACAGAATAGTGATATATTTATGGGAAAAATATCGAAACACTAACATCAGTAATCTTTCTGTCTCATATTTCTATATGTTTCTTGAGTCAAGAGCAAGAAGAGATATCTGTTGGTGGATAAGCTCCAGCATTCTATCTAGACCATCTTAGACTAAAAATGTAAATACATAAAGCATAACGGTTCAGTTTATAGTTAACAGACCTGTTTCTTTGTCAACGGAAATGTGGCAGCTTTAACAAGAACAGTCAGGAGAATAATTGTGAAACCATATGCATATGGAACATGCAAAGCCGAAAGCCCATCCTTCAAAATCTGCAACCCGTTAAAGTTGGTAATTTGAGAGTTCTATCGAATATAAGCATCCCTAAAAAAATAATTAAAAAAAATCTTTAACCAGAATCATTGAAGCACATGGCAATCAGCAAGGATGACCTTGAAAAATTGTATGGCAAAAGCAGGCAATAACAAAGAAAAATGCATATACATCTCCAAATTATCTCACCAGTGTAAAAATAGAAACAAGTACCCATGGTTGAAAGATGTGACAAGTCTGCATGGATGCACATGTAGAAAAGGTGGACTTTGACAGAAGTGCAAGCAGGCATGATAAAATAAGCATAGAAGCACCACCAAAAGTTCCTATTTGGCTCCCAAGAGAAAGATGAAAACTAAATCGGAATAATGAGTAACTGAATGCAAATCCCAATTGGAAAAGCCAATGCTCTTTAGGCACATGAGAGCAACAATCACAATGAACCAAGGGGCACAATATATATATATATATATATATATATATATATGGGAGAGTCTAAGGTCAGCTCGCTATCTGACAGCTATTAAACGCCCAATGGCTGAGCCGATCTAGTGGTCACGATTGCATTTCATATTTGAATTTTAATATTTTTTTCTACAAATCCAAATTACTTGAACTTTGGAGCGTCTATTCTTACAAAATAGATTAATCTAAATAAAATATCAAAAATATAATTTAAAAAATTAAATGGATCAAAATACCCCTGAAACTTTCATGGGTATTTTAATCATTTTAATTTTTACGAATAATTTTTTAATATTTTATTAGGTGCACCATGATGAGAAGAGTGGACGTCTCAAATTTTCTATGATTTGAGTTTTTTAAAAAAATTAAATTTCAAATACAAAATGCAATCGTGACCATCTGATCGGCCTAGATTCAATCTGGGCTATTGTGCTTACACTATTCCATTAGCCAATGGGCTGACAGAATCTTTTCCTTATATATATAAATCAAGTCTTATCCCAACTATTTGAGGTTGGCTATGAAATATATTGTATGTTATGTATCTTATATTTTATAATATATATGGAAGAACTAAACAATTACCTTTTGTAATATTGTGAATGATTTCACATTTGACCAAGAACTTAGAGACAACATTGACCTCTTTATGTAGAATGGAAAACTGACCAAGAATGACTTTAATGATTTATGAACTCTGAAGGAAAAGCTCAAACTACAAGAAAGAGTCTCTCAATATTGAACCGAACAGAAAATGTAGATCAAGCCAATTGTGAGAACCTTGTACTTTGATAGGAATCCCATATCCAAACAAACCCTAGGTAGTTGTTAACAACACACACACACACACACAAAGTAGTAATCCCCTCCACACACACCATACAAGTAGTAATCCCACACACACACACACACAAACAAGTAGTAATCCATATCCAAACACACCCGAGGTATTCTTAATGATAAACACATGCGAGCGCGTGCGCTCTTTGCATGCATAACAAATACTCGTTAAGCATCATAAACGTAGAGAAACTTGATACTCTAGGGTTTTATAGTGCAGAGAAAAGTAAGCTATTATAGAAAAATGAAAATGGACCAAGACACAGTAATATATATATATATTCAGAAGGCCACTAGCAAAAAGCAATCATGTTATAAAACTTCGCAATGTAATAGAAACGATCAAAACTTAGAAAAATATAAAAATGCTAAACAAGTAGTAAGACTAAACTTAAGGCATATGATGATCTATACAATAAAGTGGGAACAAGAGAAGGTCAAAAAGATGTCTTCAAATTAGCAAAAATAAGAGAAAAAAAATGTAGAGATCTAAACCATATTAAATGCATTAATAATGAGAATCAGAGGGTCTTGATGAAGGATGACGAGGTCAACGAAAGGTGGAGAGTCTATTTTCAAAAATTATTAAATGACAAACATGATGGGAACATAATGGTAGAAGGGATTGTTGGTACAAGTGACTGCAGAAGTCATAGATACATTGGTAGGATTAGGATGTCGGAAGTGAAAGAAGCTTTGAAAAAGATGAAGATAGGAAAGGTTTTAGGACCAGATGGTATCTCGATAGAAGTTTGGAAGTGCATGGGGGAGATTGGCATTGATTGGCTGATGAAGTTGTTCAATAAGGTATTGAGAATAAAGAAAATGCTAAACGAATGGAGGAAATGTATTGTGGTAGCTATTTACAAGAACAAATAAGACATACAGAATTGTGCAAACTATCAAGGGATCAAGCTTATGAGTCATACTTTGAAGTTCTGGGAGAGAGTCACTGAGCAACGACTAAGGCATAAACGAGTGTATCTGAAAACCAATTTGGTTTTATGCCAGGAAGGTCAACAATGGATGTTATTTTCCTACTTAGGCAACTGATTGAGAAGTTTAGGAGAAGGGAAAATACTTTCACATGGTCTTTATTGATCTAGAGAAAGCTTATAATAGAATACCACGAGATTTTATTTGGCGGGTGTTAGAAAAGAAAGGCGTCCCTAGACACTACATCGACTTGGTGAGAGATATATATGATGGAGCGCTAACTAGTGTACGAACAACTAGTAGAGAGATGAGTGAGTTTTCAATGACAATAGGTCTACATCAAGGGTCAACATTGAGCCCGTATCTATTTGTCTTAGTTATGGATGACTTAACTAGGCACCTACAGGATGAGGTACCATGGTGCATATTGTTTGCAGATGACAGTTTTGATTGACGAGACCCGAAACTGCGTCAATTCAAAGTTAGAAATTTGGAGGGATGCTAGAATCCAAAGGTTTTTAAAATTAATCGAACTAACACAGAGTATATGAAGTGCAAGTTTAGTAATAATAGGAGTAGAGACAAAGAAATAATTAAGATTGATGGTCAAGAAGTACAAAAAAGACCGCACTTTCGATATGTTGGGTCGATAATTCAGAAAAATGGAGAGATTGAGGAAGATGTCGCACACAGAATTAGAGCTGAGCGAAATAGAGATATGCAACTGGAATTTTATGTGATCGTTGCATACCAATGAGGCTGAAGGGCAAGTTTTATAGAATAGCGGTGAGACCAGCTTTGCTCTATGGGGCGGAATGTTGGGTGGACAAAAAACAATATACCCATAAAATTAGTGTAGCAAAGATGAGGATATTGAGACCAATGAGTGGCAAAACAAGAAGGAATATAATTCGAAATGAATCTATTCGACAGAATTTAAGCATGGCAGTAAACTTAGGTAGGCTGGCCATGTGTGCCGCCGACCAAGGACAACACATGTGAGGAGGTACGTGTTAGTTCAAGTGGAAGGATTGAAAAGGACAAAGGATAGGCCCAAAAGGATGTGGTTGGAAGTAATCTGAAAAGATATGGAGACCTATGGCCTCACTGAAGCTATGGCCTTTAATAAAGCAAAATGGAGAACCAGGATTCATGTAGCCGACTCCAATTA